CAACTTCCCTATCGATCGACCAGCCATAAATTGTGTGAAATCCTGCAACTGCTGATAGTGCCACGGTTGCGACGAGGGCCTTGTTTTTGAACATAGTATCGGCGTTGGGAAGGACTGTTGTTGGACTCATTGTCTAATCCAGAAGATTCCTCAGTATCATCCACTGTCTCATAACCATCATTGATGTCTGATGAAGGAGGAGGTGATGATAACTCAGAAGAGTATGCGCCGGACGTGAGGTCAAAGAGGCCAAATAAGGAGGTATTTTCAACTGGAGTTTCCATGCTGGTATTAGGCTGTGATAACTTTTAGGATAGTACAAGTTGTAGATAATATATAAAAGAATTGAATGGTATGGTTTTCAGTCAGAAAACCTGTGTGGTTGATGTCGATGTATGCCTTCGCAGATAGAGGATGAATTTGTATGGTGGAGATTTTCAGTATCACCAGAGGGGCGACCGTTCTTTCTCAGACTCTCTACGAGATATTTTTTGTTGCTTACGTTGCTGTGTTCTCATTGGTGCAGAAGTTAGCAGGACTTGGCAGGTGATCAAAGAAGTTAGCAGGGCTTGGCAGGTATTCAAAGGAGTTAGTCTGTGGCTAGTTTGCAACGAAAATATCTTGAGAGAGGCTGAGGCACTGAGATAAGTTATCACCGAGCTTTGTTTCAATTGTATTTATTATTTTTGCTCCTTGTGACCCCCTTTTTTTTAATCCTTCATATCCGAATTATATAAAGTCCTTTGGTTCTCTATCGCAATATCAATTGCGCATTCCGCATCCCTTTGGCGGACAGCAGTCAATCTTTTTCAGATACCTAAACGTTTCCTTTCTCTTCTACGTCTTTGTTGTTGAACAATTGTAGCCGAATGGCGGAACCACGAATTGAGATCGGTGCGGATGGCGATGTAGAAATGGCCGCTTCTACGGAGACTCCTGTTGAGGTCGAAAGTGCGGAAGCTGTGGAGGATGGAGCAGAAGTTGCGGGCGCCGATGGGGAGGAAGTAGGTGCGCCAACTTCAGACAACAAGGAATCCACATTTGTCGAGTGAGTAGTTTAGTAATTCAGTCGAGAGCCATATCTCCTCTCCCCATGTGTGCATGAGAATGTCCACGTACTGGCCTGCGGGCCGTGCACATGATATGCCAGACGGCCATCAAAATGCAAGCAAACGCATTCAAAAATTTCGGTTTTTGTATAGCAACAGACAACTGACGAGTGGCGCTGCCCACCTATTATCATAGGTTCTTAAAATCGCCGATCGTGGAATTGGTTGTTGGCAGAGGCGATGAGCAAACCACCGTCACTGCACATCAAGCCATACTGACGGCGAGCCCCTTTTTCAAAGACGCAATCTCACATTTCACTGACGATGGCCCTGTACGCTACCCTACCCTCTAAGCCCACTTCTGCAATGGGTTTTGGAAAGCTACTGGCAATAGGCGGGGTGATACAAGCACGGGATAAAAATCGGCTAACCGATCTCTTTCGCGCCCCATAGCGTCGCATCATTTTGGAGGACGAGACGTTAGATACCATAGGCTGCTTCCTTCAATATCAGTACACCGGCGAATATTTTCCAAGACGCCTTGTCGCGCCGTCGGACGCACTCGAAACCCACCCTTCAATTCCAGCCATCGATGACTCTGGCGAGCAGCTGCTGAAACATGCGCGCATATACACCCTAGCCGAGAAACTCGGCCTGCAGAAGCTCAAGCAACTGGCCCACAGCAAGATCCATCGCATCAACAGCACAGCGCGTGGCGAAATCGCATACGCCAGATATGTCTACGGCAATACTCCCGCGGACGATATCGTTATTCGAAAACCTGTTGCCGCCTTTTGGGCGACGAGGAGCCATGTCCTGCGCCACGAGGCGGAGCAGGAGTTCAAAACCATGTGTTTGGAATACCCACAGTTTGGCTTCGATGTGCTCAGCCTTGTGCTTGATCAAAAGGAAAAGCGAAGTCACGACCGGGAGGCCGAAACGCCGGCCAAAGGTAGCGCACGAAAGAGAGCACGAACGCAGCTCTAAACGAAATAGCCTTGCGTTTATACGTTGTAAGAATTTAGACAAGCTCCTCCTTTCTCCATTTGTCTTTGTGTCTATTTGTTAATTTATTTATTGCTGATTGTTGATTGTTTTATTAGTTAGTTTCCTATAATTATCCCTGTAATCTCTGGGTTGATTATTTATTCTCTCTAAGGGAATGGGTCGTCATGTTTATTTCCCCCCATGTGCGGCATGCTTCTGGTGAGAAAACTTGTTTGAATCTTTCAATTTATAATTCATAATAACCCAGGCTGAGGATTTAGTGGTAGCGTGCTTTTTGTCCACCTTGAAGGAATATCTTTGTGCTACTAACCCCCATCTGAGAGCAGCATGTTTTTTCAACGAAAGCTCATCAGATTCTTGAAGGTGTGATTTGAGGAACATGGTTTCAGATCCCTATCTCATTTTTGCCAACTAACCCTCGTCAACAGAGATGGAGGCTTTTGCGGTAAAATACATTCGCAACGTACATATATATCCTTTTGTCGATTGCTGTGGACTCTGTGGAAAGAAAGTGCTATAAAAGAGAACAATGATTATCGATTATCAAGTATAATACTTCGTTGCAATTACACATATCCTCATATTTCCCGAATGTAATTGCATGAATACAGAACTGGGATGCAGCCTTGCTTGATTGGATTATTCGGCCAAAATGTAAACAAGGCGGAAAAGCGAGCGAGATCCATGGATAAAAATAAATGAGATGCAAAGTGAGGAGTGAAGATATTTGAGTCGAGCCTTCGCCAGTGAAACTCCCCACCACCTCCCCCCAAACAACAAAAAAAAAACAGGAAGCAATGGCAAAAGTGCCCGTAGCATTGTCGGCCGTATAACAAACTACTCTGCAAAAGATATGGAAGTTTGCGTACATGATCTCATTGCCGAATCCACATCCCAGTAGAAAAAGCGCCTGCAGAAAAAAACAAGGTTAGCTAACCAGGTGGTGGTGGCACAGGGAAGGCTATTATTTAGGCGATTTCAACTTTGCTGATATGATCAGCAACCTAGTTTCTACATTGCCATTTCACAATGGTCATATCCACCTTTTCCGAATTTTGCTTCCTTTGGATCTGGAATAAGAGAGGAACACAGTGCGTGGTGTATAATTCTTCGGAGAATGTAAATGCGTCTGGGACGCCGCCACGATTCCCTCTATCTAGACAATGTTTCCTGTCATAGAGACAAATTCCCACAAGACAATAAGAGCAAAAACTAGCAAACGGGGTACAATACACGCCCACAGATCCTCAGTATATTTGGGCTTTGTTAGGCTGTGCATTTCTTCATTCTCGCATTGTCAGGCTGTGTTGCAAACCCCAACCTATTTACTTGAACAGAGCTTCCAGTTGATCATACTTTTCAATATCGTTCCTATATGAAGCCTCAATCAACGAATGGACGATACCCATATCAAGAAAAGAGGCATAGTCCAGCCCTGCGCCGCCAACACTTGCACTTCATAGCTGTCGAAAAGCGCCGACGATAGAATTACTTCAAGCGCCACGTCCATCCTCAAAATACATAGTAGGAAAGGCAACCAGAGCAACCGGTTTTAAAAATCTTCTCGGCACATTTCACAAAATATTGGACCATGGAGGACAGGATAACTTCAAATTGCCTCCGGATATGTTTTTCCTCTCGATCAACGATCAACGTCCCGGCAGAAGTTTCTGCCCTTCAAGGCTTGTGGCGGCTGCAGATTTTTCAGGCAGGCAGGATGGACCCGAAGAAGAGATTCAGGACTTGCCAATTTGGCGGACTGCTGTTGTGCAAAGAGAATTCCTTCCATCAGACAGAACTGTTTTGCGATATCTCAACCACTGTCCATTCCTGGGGAGATGTCTCTGTGTGGTTAAGCTCTTTGATATCCCCCTCCCTTTTGGCTTTGGAATCCGTCATTAATCCCGAATAGAGATGTGGCTATGGGGGTTAGGATGGCGCACGTCGTTCACTTGTAGCTTATTGTTATGTTATTTTGTCGGATCTCTTTCTCTGACAACAGTTCCCACTCCGGAGGCCCCTTTGACATCGTCGGCGCCAGATCCAATCTCCATTTCGATATCCAGTGACTGGCTGAAATTGCTGGGCAAGATTGAAAGCTTCGTCAGGTTGCAATTTAGGGGTTCTAAGTCGCGTCAGTCCTTCTTTGGCCAGTGGATTCCCGAGTATTG